GAGAGAGAAACAGAGACAGAGACAGAGACAGAGACAGAGACAGAGAGAGGAGGGAGAGATTCTCTCAATCCCAAGTATTTCTATTCTCATCATCCTTGAAATCAGATCTAATCTGTAGCTCTAGGGCTTTGTTTCTATCAAAATCACATGTATATTTTCCCTTTGTGTCTATCAAAACTACATGTATGTTTTCCTTTTGTATTTCTTCGGCCTCCATTGCTGCAAGAGAAGAAAACTTCTTAGAGCCCCATCCATATCTGATACCTCCATCTCTCTTCAGTAGGTCAGATTACATAAGTGGGACACTTCACTAGAACTGTCCAAGGACAACTGTTTTTCAGACTAGTAGGTCAAAGGACACAGAAACCAACAATGGACTAAAATAACAAAGGAGACAATGAAACTCAGAGTTGGGTCTACTACACATCTTAACTATTCATGAAGTTTGCAATTTAGGGGCTATCCATCTAAAGAGAAACATTTTACAGAGAGGCTCGGGTTTTTCAAACTCACCTATCCACAGATTTATTATTTATGAACAGTTCTCCACTTAAATGGCCTGTGCTTTGACTAGTAATTGCCTCCTGCCACTGCTTCGGATTTCTTAAGAATATCTGGCTTAAGCATCAGTGAGCAAATACAACCATTAAATCATCCGAAGTTCCTCAGAATCTCAGCGGCATAAAACATTTCAATCATGATTGTGGCCATTAATGTGAAATGCTTGGAAACACACTTTAGGCTTTGTTTCTTTGTGAGTTTATTTTCTCTTGAGACAGAAGCATCACTGGGGATGGATCTATATTAGTTATCATCGCCACAAAAACATCCTCAGAAACAACTTGAAGGGAGGAAGAATTTATTTGGTCTTGTGGGAAAACGTAGGGGTGGGCAGCTCCATAAAGAGAGCATGTGGCTTACATGTTACATAGCACTGACCAGGGGGAAGAGAGAGAGCTCCTCGGGGGCCAGGTAATAACCCAGAATCCTGATCCCCAGTGGCCCATTTCCCCCATCTAAGGACCACTTCTTAAGATTCCACCACAACCATAGCACATACCTATAATCCCACCACTGTGAGGATAAGGAATTAGAGAACAACCTAGGTTACGTAGTAAAAGTCTGACTCAAAACAAGACAAAATCAAAAGGCTGGAGGGAAAAACATGAAACACACATATTGGCTACACTGGAATATGCTGATTCACCAGGTTGACATCTCTCAGAAGCTGGAATGTGTTTCCAGTGCTTTCCCATGTAACTATTTCAGGCCATAGTATTTGTCATACATTGGACTTGTGCCTAATCATACAATCTGACTACTTCAAGTATTCAGATGTGCATGGGCAAAAACAGTAATTCCATGCCATAATGTTATTAACTTTTCCTACTGGGATCATGTAAAATCTGTTTGCTTTTAGAAATGGTGTTGACATCATTAAATTATGTTTAATTTGAATATTCCTTTTCAGTTTGTGTGGTTCCCCCACTGGAAATCCTCTTATGAATAAAATTTTATTCTGAGCCTTGTCAGTTTACTGGTTAAGTGGTCTGATGTGTGGGTTTGCATATGTGAGCAAGAAAATGACACAATGAGTCAAATCTCAAGGATGTCATGACAATTAGTAAGGACTTATTCTTTGGCTACTGGAAGAAAACAAGAATCTAGTTGTTTTAGTTCCTACTTTCTGACCTTGCTACAGAGAATTGTGTTCTTGCAGACAGAAGGCTGTTTGATTTTCTCCCTCTCCTGAAGCATGTCTCCACGGCCTGTAGGCATTGGTGGAAGAGACAGAAAGTCCACGTACTTCCCTCCACCCTTTTGGTTTTGTTTGTTTTGAGTCAGGCTTTTACTATGTATCCTAGGTTGTTCTTTGGTTTTGTCTCTTTCCCATATTTCTGGCCAATTCCCCCTCATTCCTGATGCTATTGCTGACACCAGCTTCCTGTGTTGTGTCCCACTTCTTCGGAGACTCACACTCATCCTGCTAGTCCATGGATCCAACAAATCTTTAAGGAAGCTGGATTCTGATGACTTATTAAGTAAGATCAAAATACCATCATTGGTGATAGAATTTCAAGTAGATAATTTCAAGTAGTTGAACCCTGAGAAGTGTTGAAGGAAATTTCAGGAAAGAATTTTAACCCTTAGCATTCCCAATTCTGCCTGTTTTCATTTTACATGCCAGAGGTCAAAGATTTAAAAATACCCCACCATTCCTGTTTTGCTTTTTACAACTTCTGCCAGACCAACCCCCAAATACAATGGCCCTAAAATAGGTAAGTATGAGACATTGGCTCCTCAATCTTGCCTTGTCAATAAAACATCATTAATAGCTATAAATAACTTAGAACACAGTTACTGGAAAATGGTAAATCAAAGAGCTCATTTTACAGTGACAGAAATAACATTTTTAAATCAGATCAGATTGAAGCACTGACAACATTTAATAAAATGTTTCTAAGCAACAGGGAAGAATAATCAAAGAGTTTCAACAGAAGCGACATTCACAGAATATAAAAAAAGAATCCCAAAATAGCCTGTATTTTTTTCCTTCCTTATAGGCAACTCACTCTGCAAGGAAAAACAAACTCCTTCCCAAAACTCAGTTTATTAGACATCTTTCCAAATATTCCATGTATGGTGTTAACAGGGAAGGACCACACCAGCAACCCAGGCTTAATAAAGGTCAGCCTGGAATACACGGAGAGGAAGCAGTGCAAGGGAATGATAATTTGAAATTCCAGACCAAGGGACGCACCCTTCTGCACCCCTTGGCTACAATCAAGAGGAAGTTTTCAGTATTGCATTACATACTCTTTGGGCCCACCTGGGTAGGGTTTTTTTCATTTTCCACTACTAGTAACAAAAGCCCTAGCTTTGCCAACCAGAAAGATTCTCTTGAAAGAAATGAGTACTGATAATAGACTCCAATAAGTGCTTAATAAATTCTAGTCTGGAAGGGAGTGTTATCTTTTCATGTCTGTAATAACACAGAACCAAAAATGCTTTAATACTTACAGACCAATTTCTCCCACTCACCACTGTGTTTGAAATGACGACTTCATCAGTGAACAGTCCCATTACTTTAACCAGAAAATGAGTGCAGCATGTGCGAATATCTTTTTCAAAGTGGCTCTAGTCTGTAGAGAATGCTGGTGGCACACAAATGGAAATTCTTGGTTCTCCTTTATACTGCAAACATACATGCAGATGCACACTGGGCTCAATAAGGAAAAAG